TAAATATAGTTTCAGCGCGAACTTAAACTGCAATTGTGTATCTTTCGTTAAGTTCATGTTTTTATTTATTCGTCACTGACTGAATGATTGCTGGCATTCACTTCGTGTAGGCATAAAGTAGGCTACAGCAAACTTCAACTCGTAGTATAAATTGCACCTTGCGAAGCTTTTAAAATGTGGCTTTTACTAATTGTTATCATTTGTTGACCCTCATAAATAAACCCTCATAAATGTATCCGTTCCGTTGGCTAACACTTTAATATATATATATAGCTATAATATATCCTGGTGTGATTGTTCTTAAAATCTTGTTCATTTAAATAAGCCAAATCATTAAGACCAAACACAAGCATAAATGTGTTGCTTTAATACATATGTACAATTTGGATTAAACAAAATTGTATGGACAAAAGTGGATAAATTACATTTGATACAATTAGGTTACTGTAAATGAGGGGGAAAAAACACTTAACATTATTTTACGGAATATAAGGGCATGCGCGTGGAACTGCTCATTCGTCACGCTCCTCGTTTCTCAGCAGGTTTAATGGATTACTTCAAAAAAGGTAAATCTAGTTTCAGCGCAAAATTAAACTACAATTGTGTATCATTTCATTCATAATGTTTTTATTAGTTTGCACGTTTTGTGCATTAATTAATGACTAAATGATTGCTGGCATTCTAGGCTATTAAGCACAGCAAACTTCAACTCATTCATTTAGTTGTGCTTTTCCTTTGTACATTGCAATGCTTTAAACTGCCTTTTGTTATCATTTGTTGAATGTTACTGCAATACAAAAATAATACTAATATTAAATTAAGACATAATATATTTTTTAAACATTAAAATAGAAAACAGTTGATACAAATATTTCACAATATTACTGTTTTTAGATAAATGTACCTTAGAGGTACCTTACCTTAGACCCTTAATACCAAACATTTGAACAGTAGTAGGCTACACACCTTGCAATCAAAACATTCAAAATAATGTAACAATATTATTTTGAATGTTTTGATTGCAAGGTGTGTAGCCTGCTACTACTGTTCAAATGTTTGGTATTAAGGCCAGTATGTATGTTTGTAAATATCTTTTTTAGAACATCAAATTAGTGGCTTATCATATTCCGTAAAATAATGTTAAGTGTTTTTTCCCCCTCATTTACAGTAACCTAATTGTATCAAATGTAATTTATCCACTTTTGTCCATACAATTTTGTTTAATCCAAATTGTACATATGTATTAAAGCAACACATTTATGCTTGTGTTTGGTCTAAATGATTTGGCTTATTTAAATGAACAAGATTTTAAGAACAATCACACCAGGATATATTATAGCTATATATATATTTTAAAGTGTTAGCCAACGGAACGGATACATTTATGAGGGTTTATTTATGAGGGTCAACAAATGATAACAATTAGTAAAAGCCACATTTTAAAAGCTTCGCAAGGTGCAATTTATACTACGAGTTGAAGTTTGCTGTAGCCTACTTTATGCCTACACGAAGTGAATGCAATCATTCAGTCAGTGACGAATAAATAAAAACATGAACTTAAAGGGTCATGAAACCCCCCTCTATCAGCTCAAGTCTAGCTCATAATCTTTTTGAAAAATGCAACTTAAATGGGCGTGGATGGTTGTGAGAAGAAGGGAGGGAGTGGGTGTGGCACGGCAGGGGAGAGGGGGAACTGTCATCAGCCAGCAGTGTTGCCAGATGTACGATAATTATCGTATTTGTACAATAATTTTGACCTCTGTACAATGTACGATCAATAATGAACAATAATCTCAGAGTTTTCAGTCGTTCGTCCAAACACACATCCTACCGCTTCTCTCTCTGACCCCGAATCATTCAGTAGCACCTCAATGCAGTCCATAAGATCCACGGGGAGGAGTCGGATCAAGATCCAAGGGGTGGAGATGGGTAGGATTAGGGGTGTGTTTAGGGATCAGGGGGCGGAGATGGGTAGGATTAGGGGTGGGGTTAGGGATTAGGGGTGTGTTTAGGGATCAGGGGGCGGAGATGGGTAGGTTTAGGTATATGTAAGGTGGGAGGAGTTGGATCTGGATCCGACTCCTCCCCGTGGATTTCATGTTCTGCAGTGAGGACCATCTCGAATCATTTCGCAGGCTCGCCTGCCTGCACGTACACACACACACACACACACACACAAACACACAACACGGTGTCGCCCGGCCCGCACGTCAACACTACACATTCACAAGTCTCCCGCATTAAGCATACAATTGATATATTATCGAAATATCTAAAATGTTCATAACGACCGCTTATTTAACAAAAGGCAAGTAAAATGACCAGGGTTACATTTTAGAGACACACTCTGAAGGGATAGAAAAGTCCTCAGGACTTGGTACCGCATTACTCGCAAGACGTAACTTGCATTGGTCATCGACAAGGCCGAAGTCCACCATTCTCCAATTCTCGAAAGCTCTCTCGGGTAAAATGTTTGCGGCACTTGCGTCCCATGATGGTCTCTCTCCTTTACTACGCGATATCACAGTTTGACATGTCTGTGGAAAGATCCACGTGGTGTCATGAATAATTAAGAGACCGTGTCTTCTCATAGGATATAAAAACTCAGTCTCATTAATAATTATGAGAGACCGATGAGTCATCAACGCACTACATTGTGCACTGCCACGTCACAGCCTGCGATGAAGATTTTAAACCCGGAAGACGAAAATAGCTGGAAAAAACTAAAATTTAACCATTTTCGCCCTACTATTAAATCTAACAGATGCTAACATTGTCTTCAATGTTGTTCAACACACATACCTCTGTTAAAATCTCAGAAAATTTGGTTTAGGGTTTCATGACCCTTTCACGAAAGATACAAAATTGCAGTTTAAGTTCGCGCTGAAACTATATTTACCTTTTTTGAAATAATCCATTAAACCTGCTGAGAAACGAGGAGCGTGAACTAGAATGAGCAGTTGCACGCGCATGCCCGGGAAACTCATGAATATTAATGTAGGCTCCGCCCACTGCCTCTACAGATGCACAACTCACTTTTGCACCACATTTCACGGTCCACTTGGTGCAAAAGGCGGAGCGTACGAAACTTGTCACTTGAAAGTGAAAAACAAAGCTTGTGATTCGTCGCAGCAGATTCAAGCAGCTGTAGTTGTGTACTTGTGTTTGTGTTAGAAAAATATACAAGACCTTTGTGAGAAAAGATTCTACAAGTGTGCAACTCTCATTGGATGAATTCACATACTGATTTGCAGATGAGCAAAAGTTCTCTGTGACTTCACATTTTTTGATGCGGGTGTGTAAATGTGTTTTGCACCATATTCACTGCAGCAACTGTAGCAAAAATGTGAGCGTACGAGTTTCTTAATTTGTGATTTGTAGAATAGGATTTGTGCACCTGCAATGAAGAATTTGAGAAGGTGTAACTGTTGTGTTTGTGGAAGATAAAAAAAGTCTACAAGTGTGCAACTCTTAAAAAAATGATCTCTGTGACTTCACATTTACTGATACACATGTGTGGCTATTCTCTACAACTACAAATTCCACTGTCACAGGCGTTCAGTTGTTTTGCACCAAAAATACCTTCATACCCAACCCGGCATCGATCCTGGCATCAATCCCGTTTGCGTTCACACAGAAGGCACTCTGGCAATTTGCCGGGTTCAAAGCGAAAGGGGCTATTTTAAAGCCCGATACACCACCAGCCAAATTTTCACACAGCTTTCTCAACTCCAAAACATGTACAGTAAACAATACTAAAAGATTATTACCATGAAGTTTCATTTCATCATGGGTGCATGTCAAATCAAGACTTTCCCCGTTTCAGATTCTTGAATGAAGAGATAAATATCTTATCTTATTTCAATCAAATGTCATACCACTCTTAAAAAAAAAACGGTTCAATCAATGGGCCCTATGGGTTCTTGACTCAATTTTAAAGAAACCTTTTTGAAGAAAAAAAAGGTTCTAAGGAGAGATGTCTTAAATGATTGCATATACCGTACTTTCAATACTTTTCAATATACTTTTCAATAGGTAATTTAAATTATTTCAAGTGATAAAGTTTTGCAAGCTGTTTAATTCATAAAATGTCATTAAAATTTTATTTAAAAAATATTTAATTAAGACTAAATTAATAAAATATTTCAATAAACCTTTTCTTCTAAGATTGAAAAAATTAATCCACTCCATTCAGAGCAGTATACAAATCATTGCATGCATAGGTGTTTCTTAAACTATGGGCACTTTTGGTCCTGTGGGCTTACAATTTCTCTTGAAACATACTCAATCACACTCTCACATGCTTTAATTTTAATTAATTTGTCCTCTATCAATATCTGAGTCTAGGCCTATATAAATGCATTGCAGAATCTCATGAACATTTCCTCTAATTATGCGTGTTCCATATATTTAATGTGTTTTATTCTATGGTGAGAATGACTCTACAATTGTGGGGCAATCATGCGTTTAAATATTGTTGAAATAACTTTCACACAATGTAAATGTAAATAGTTTGTCATCATGGTTTTAAACATATAATAATAATATTAATGTTATAATGGATATTCATAGTCTATAAAGTCCGGGTCTTGGATATGGATAAAACAATATCAAACTATATAAAACATATTTGTAGCAAAATAAATTATGAATAGTAAAACTTTTAATGCCATAAAAAAGGGGGAAAAAGATAGTTTGATTTCACAAAAATGTGTCGCTTGGACATAAAAGAGAAGTTGAAGTAACTGAAGAACAGTTGAAGAACTGAAGTTGAAGAAACACCCATATATCGACTAATTTGAATGGAGAATCAAAGATTTAATTCTTTTAATACTTTAAATAATTTGAGATTTAATACTCACTCCAGGCCGACAGATGGCAATGATGACACAGCCAATATTTTCAAGCCTCCATATGATGACGACATCTCTATCCGAAGAAGAAGACTGCTGCTCCGCTTTGTTTACTTTTAAAGATGGATGTTCAATCACATTATTATTTTTTCTGAAAGCACTGACTATCTGATTTAACAACCGACATTAGAATGTAAGGTAGAAAAAACACAGCATGGAGGAATCGTGGGATTTTGAATTCTTGTCTCGTATGGTTGATAGTCTGGTTTCCTTTCTGTCCGAATTTGTGGACGATTGGCTGGCCAACGACATGAGAGTTGCAGTCTTTAAAATCCTGTTCAGCTGGCTTGTCATCAGTCTCGTTGCTATCCACTTTGCTTGGAAAGTGTACGGGAACACTGTCAACGATATGTACTACCGACAGGGTGAGTATTTTCTGAGGTGCTCCGCGTAATCCATAATAATAAGTCCTACTGTATAAAACGTTTTGTGACCATACACTGCCCGGCCAAAAAAAAAAGTCGCTGTTTGGATTCAAATCCTAGTTTCTAGCATGTTATCATTATGTGTTTGGAAACAGTTCTTCTAACACTAATTGATGGAGTGTGTAGCTTTTCATTTGTTTGAACAACCAACCATAAACTGATGCACCACTTGATGGAAATAACATCACAACATTTATTTCCATCAAGGTGGATCAAATTTTGGTCAAGATGTTGTATTGACAATGTAAGAGTCCAGCACTTTAAGTCTCCTCCAGCACATCCTAAAGACTTTAAATGAATTTAAGGTACTCCGAGTTGCAAATTCATGTGTGAAAATGATTCATCATGCTCCCTCTTAACCATTCTTTTACAATTTGAGCCTGATGAATCTTGACATCGTCATCCTGGAATATGGCCTTATGGTTTAGAAATGAAAAGCTACACACTCCATAAGTTAGGGTTAGAAGACATAACATATAGCCAAAACATATAACATGCTAGAAACATAATAATCACTGCAATAATGATCCAATCATAGACATTTATCTGATATTTAAATCAGATTTATTTTTTTGGCCTTTCAGTCTATATTGTGCATTTGAAAAAGTAGTAACGTCACTTGGACTAAATATGTTTGTGATCATTTCTCAGGGACTGGAGGACAGAATGGCGGGACCCCTGACACGGCGCCTCACCTGAGCGGATGGTAGTTGACCCGCCTTTCTGTTGTTCTCTTCATGAAAGATTTGTTGACCTTAAGTTACAAATGAACTAAAGACTCAGGATTTCATTTATCTTTGGCTGCATTATGATGATTTTCTAATTCTAATTTGGAATATGATCAACAATTTTGCGTGTGGAAAATTAGAATATTGAAATTTTTAAATATTGAAAAATATAACATTTTAACTCAAATGGACTGAACAATTCACTGACAAGACAAATCGAATCGTTCTGAGCGCTTCATTCACTGAAGCGTCTCATAATGAGCCATGAACCGATGAGTGAGCTGGTAGCATTATGACTCTGCCGAGGATTTTACTGATGGACAGAGAATGGCTTCACTGAAACTGTAATAAACAGCACTATTAATAAAACTATCAAAAAAAGTAGCTTGATATTATAAACATCAGTATTTTGTTTTAGTATGTAGGCTAATTTGTGCATAGCCCTTTTATGAAAACGCCTGTTAAATCCAATGTTTTCCATTTATTCCTAGGGAAAGTGCAGCTGGTGATGCCAAGAAAACCCACCGTGAGTGATGTACCTGCAACTGGACTAAGAGCACACACACACACACACACACACGATGGAGAAAAGCAATTGCATTCCTTCAAGAACATTAAATACATCAGAATTTGTGCTATTAAATCATTTTAACTTGTCTGTGAAGATGTCTGTGATGGACTGTGGTGAAAAACTCAAGGCCCAAACACATGAATATGTGCTCGAAAATACACAACTGAATGGTGCTGTGCACTGGAAAAGGAGGATACCATATATAGCAGCTCTGGCTCTTTTAGGATGTTTGTTTGGATTGAACTCTTTAAGCTAGTAGATAGCAAGACTTGACAAAAACAATTCTCACACACCATTTGACTAAAAACTGACAGGAATACCAGTCAAAATACAGGTCCCCGATGATCACAGTCATTTGGTCTGTTTGTAGAAATCAAACTGATTTCAGTTATATAAGAAAATAGACTTGATTTTACAGAAATAAGAAGACATTTAGTACCTGTGTCCGAAAGGTTACAGCTGTCTTTTTGCAGTGAAAATAATAAATACAATTTGTACCTAATTTTGTGTATTGGTTTCCTGTTATTTATTTCATGAGCAAATTGTATTTCAATGTATTGCAGTACACATTAAAAAGCACCTTACTTTGTTTCAGGACTCATTAATGGGGGAAAAAAGAAGACATTAAAAGTGGTTAAAATAAGCGATATTGTGAAAAATCTTAAAAAGTGCACTTCTGGTAGATTACCTTGGAGGAAAAAAAATATTTATTCCCCCATAATTGTGTTGCTTCCAAACACAAATCAACCTAAAGTCAAATTATTGGAAGTCTCTGGGGTGATGGTGGCAGCAGCATAACATGCACATCCATCACATTGGTTCCTGTCAGTCCAGGCATGAGTAACCGTCGTCCTTCAGAGAGCTGTGAGAAAAATGTGAACGAATCATTATTGGTGAGAAAGCCATCAATGTCCAGACCTTGAGACATGGCCTCTTCCATCAGTTCCCCATCTGTGACGGCACCAGCTGCCTCAGTCGGGCCGTCCTGTCCATCGGTTCCTCCACTGAGAAACACTGCACCACTCTTCACTTCACCACCACTGAGCTCAAGCCCCACCCGCAGAGCCAACTCCTGGTTCCTCCCTCCCCTGCCCTTTCCTGTCAGTTGCACAGTGGGTTCTCCTCCAGCTAGCAGACAGGTCGCACCCCAGCCTTCCTTCCTCTCCTCTACAAGCACGTTCATGGTGCGACACAAATCCCAGCTTTCTATCCCAACATCTGGCCCTAGCTGAAGGATCTCTGCAGCAAGCTCTGGAGGAGGTTCCTTTCCTGGGGAGCATGCAAAACTTGAGAGCAGCCCGTATAGTCGTGCAAGGGAACGAACGTCACCACATACTCCTGGAGCTAGAATGACAGGTCGAAGTCCCAATTCAATGGCCTTACGGCTTGCACATTCAAGAGCAATGGTGTTTGAGCCAATTACAACGTTTGAAACATGGTCTTTGACTTCATGTGGATGTTCTTGCCCCTGCAATTCACAAGGCCTAGCTTTGCTAAGCACCTCTTTTACAGAGGAAGGAATAGAGTCGGAGAGCTTATAACGATCCAAGATAGCCCAGATCTCCTCTGGCCGGGAGTCACTCCTGACTGTTGGACCGCTGGCTATCAAATCCAGAGGATCTCCAATAACATCTGACAGAATCAGCGCCACCACCTTCAAGACAGTGTGATGACAGAGAGAGTAAATATTATGCTTTACTGACATCGTGGGGTATTGCTTAACATTTTTCTGTGATGAACAAGGGGAAAGCTATTAAAAAAAACAAAAGATTTTCTTCTTTTGTCCTCATATAAGCCCAATTCTGGGATTTGGGAGTGTACACCTATTTTTTGATTATGTAATTGTGTTACCTTGGCTGGGTTGGCACATTGGGCAAGACCTCCACCCTTTAACAATGACAGGGCTCGTCTCACTGTATTTAACTCCTGAATTGTTGCACCTGCTGCTGCAAGTTTTTGTGTCACATCCTGTTTCTCCTGTAAGGACATGGGTGCGGCTGGAGCAGGTAAAAGAGCAGAACCACCACCTGTGCATAGATGCATGTAAAAACATGAACATTTCAACAAATACACAACTTTATAAAAGCTTGGGTGAGCAAGAATCTTTTCTTTTTTTTGAAAGAAATTAATACTTTTTTTGAGCAAGGATGCATGAAATTGATCAAAACTGACAGTAAAGACATTTATAATGTTACACAATATTTATATTTCAAATAAAGGCTGATCTTTTGAACTTTCCATTTGTCAAAAAATTCTGAAAAAATAATACTAATCACAGTTTCCACAAAAATATTAAGCAGCACAACTGTTTTCAACTTAATAATAAAGAATGTCAATAATAATAATAATAATAAAGAATGTCTCTTGAGCACCAAATTAACTTATTAGAATAATAATGTGACACTGATGCCTGGAGTAATAATTTCACAATATTACTGTTTGTACTGTTTTGGATCAAATAAATGCAGCCTTGGTAAAATAATAATTATACAGGAAGAAAATAAGTCTCAGTACCAGAGATGAGCACAAGCAGCACATCTTTCTCAGTCAGACCGCTGGCCAGTTCTCGTATACACTCTGCTGACTTCAGGGCATCTCTATCTGGTAAATTGTGCTTTGCTCCTTCCATCACTGTAATTCTGCTGTGACTTTCAAGCAGCATCTTCCTGAGCAGACACACAAACAAGAGTTTCTCAGTGAAAGATTAAAAATTAAATTTATCCTTCAGTTTAAAATTAAATATAATACCTGGGCATTTCTGTCTAACCACTAAGAATTTTGATGGTAAGTTACAAATCCCAGTTTATTGCTATATAAACTACCTATAAATCTCATTTAACAGAACTCAGGCACATTAAAATGTTTTTTTTTATACTGTAACACTAAAATACTTACGCTTTTCCATGATTTCGCAGTGTATTCTGGATACCATGAGGCACACTGACCACCCCTTTAATTAGATGGTCCCCTACAATCCTCTCTGCTTCTGCTGCCATGCCCAGCACCGCCTTACCAAACCCCACCAAATAAAGGTTATTGGTAAGCGTGAAACTCTGTCCATCCACAAGTAGTTTGTCTCCATGTCGCTCAAGACCCCTGCGAACCACTATGTCTGGCTGCACAGCTTCAACCGCAGCAGAAAACACAGCCCGGGCTCGCGTGTCTAATGACGACATACTGCGAGAGTACAATGATGCTAAGCCCACCCGCAGTGGGTGCTGCAGGTGAAGAGAACGTGAGAGAGCAAGAATCTGAGCCATGTACCCCTCAAACTATCCACATCAGATAAAGAGAGCCACTTAACACCTGAGGAGAGAAAGAGATTAAAACCAGGCTGATTATTAATAACCAATTACACAGATTTTAATTAGCATTGATTTGTATCTTATTTATTACCCCCTCTATTTCACTCACAATTAACTTATTGTTATCGAAATTCACTCTGATGTCTAAAGGTAGCATTAGAGGGTACCGAAATCTGTTACCCTCTTTTATTTATTTCACAGACAATGTCTTTAATGTTACCCAAATTCACTCTGGTGATGTCAAATCTCCTGTTTCATACACCAAAAACCATTTTAGTTGGATGTGAACCGCTGCGGTTATCAAAACTGACAAGGTAGCATTAGAGGTTAGCATTTAGCATTAAACTATAATTTCAGATCCTAAAAAGCATCTCTTATGTGAACAGACACAGATATGCAGGCCAGGGTCACCAACCAGGCATTAGAGGTTACTGAAATCTATCCCCCTCTATAAACATACATTCAAACAATATTAGAAAGCATAGGCTATGCTCTGATGTGAATAGCTGCATTTATTCAGTATACAGTAGAGTCACCAAATCTAATCTAATGCTAAATTGTCGGATTTGGTGGCCCTGCTGTGTGCAAAAATAAATAATTTAAACATCACCAGAGCAAATTTGCATAAAATTAAAGCCATTGTGTTTGAAATAATAGTTAACAGATTTTGGAAACCTCTAATTGTGCCTTGTCAGATTTGGAAACCCTAAAATATTGAATATTTTCAGTAGGCTATATTACGGTACATACTTTCCCCCCCAATATTTACTCATTTACAAAATTTTACCAAGCAGGAAAAGTTATCAACTAATGCAGATAATTCTCTCAATAACAAAAATCTCTAAACTACAACTAAATTACCAATTGTAGTCAACTAGAAACAGTGTGAATTCATAATATACATTTCCTGTCCCATCATAGTGACAGTCAGATCGTGATTTAAGGAAAACGTACCTGCACACTGTTCCTGGGAATTCTGAAGCTTTTTTATGAACTGACAAAACTTTTGAGAACTGCATTACACTGACGGGCCAGTGTACTGAACGAGTAGGCTAATGATTGACTAGTTGACCATAGGGCAGAGAGTAGTTTCAGAGCTAGTCAGGTTTATGGATTAATCAATCCAAAAACAGTAGAGGGGGAGGTACGACAATAATAGCCTTTGACACTAGTTGACTAGCTGCTACAAGTCAAGTTTTAGGCAAGTCCAGTTAAAGTGCTGAGGGGCAGTGTGCACCGACATTGAAAACATACGCATTCCCCACACAAATTACAACAAAGGATAATTTTTACCTCAATTCTTTTTCTATTCGCGATCTGGTCACTTCAGCTATTGAAAACAACATAAAAAAAAAGACATCAGGAGTAAATTAACCTACGTCTTGACGTCATTTTAATTTCTGTATTAGTCAGACATGTTTACACATTCATAATTCCTCCGCCCCCGTTTTCTCCTTGTTGTGAACTTGACTCACATGACGAACGAATTAACGAAATAAAATACCCTCTCCATCGGTTGGACAACACCCTCGTTCACGAACGAAATGTCTTGTTCAGTGCCGCTCCAAATCGGTGTTTTGAACGAATCTTTTGTAAACAAATCGTTTAAAACGTCGACTCGTTCTGTGAAGGGGGAGAGTTCGTTCGGTAGGTCTCTAACCAAAGTAAAACAGAACCAAATGCTCCTTCACAGCCCACACTGGAATGCCATTGGCTGGATCTTGAGGCAATCTTTTAAGTCAGGAAAACGAATCAGAATCAGCAGAGAACAAGAACGATTCGTTTGCATAAATTATTCGTTTATAAACAAACACGATAACATAAACATTGCGTCACACAGCGGAGCTTCCGAGTTTTAAGTCAAGTGACCTTCTATTGCACACTAATAAAGTTGGAAATTCAAGTTGAATCATGAAACACATATGCTGTTTTGAAGAAGCAATGACATTTTTTCTTCAGAAGGTGGCAGTATTCAATAAGTCAGACAAACTAAACTAAAACTATGACTCAAAACCATGTTTGGCTATGGGCCAGAAATGATAGCCTTAAAGTCAACATGAAATCAAAATGGACAATTCTTTTTTTCAACCTTTCACTCACAGGAGACCACAGCAATAGGCTAGCAAACCACAATCATCCAAATCAATTCCTAATAAACAAAATAAAATCCCGCCCTACATTGTTTTTTTGTGTTCGAGCCATTTCACTCGGATAAGTCACAATATGGAAGAAAAGGCAATTGCAACTTCCGTTTCATGCAGACTTTAAGAGAAATGAACAGACATTATTTCAGTAATTAATATAAATATAAGTTTTGATTGTTTAAGCTAATTTGCCATACTTATCATGTCATAATTTGTCATTTTATAATGTTTTTTTTTTAAATATGCAACTACATTTAATAGACATATTTAAAGCCTTGCAGACACAAAAGCTAGTTAAAAGTGCTGTTCTTGTTTGTTTGCGTTGCTGTTCTGTCATGTTTGTTTGTTGTTGGCCTACTATCTATTGCAGCACTTTTTTGTGTTGTCATGGATAATTGATGTGCAGAAGGCTATGTAATTCTCAGGTGGCTGCAGATAGCAGATGGGAAGAGGTCACTGTGCTGGCTGATATTTCCATTCTGCAGCACCAGTGACCCTTTGTCATCCTCTATGCGTACACTCCCTTTGCATCCCCTTCGTCCCTTCCGTCCTTGTGGCAATCATATGCTCCGTTGTTCTATAAAGATTTGGCTAATGTGTTGGGTAGAATGTATCAAGCCATTGGAAGTTTTCCATCAGTGATCACTTATTCAGCTGAGGCCTGGTGTGAGAGGATGATGGAACGACAACTGTACAGATGGCAAAGAGTTGGCAGGTGACTTTCAGCGGATACTAAGAGAGGCTGCGATTTATGAATACTCAGCAATAAGCAGCATAATTTGCATGACCAGAGGGTATCTGGCATCAGTGCAGGGGACAAGCTTAACTCTCTGAGGTGGCTGAACTCTCACTTCCAGTAAGTGACTAAGATGAATCACTTTACTGTGTGCAATTAGATCTTCTCACTTTTTCATTAAAGCCAATATAGGGAATAATGGTAAATGGAGAAGATGGAAACAGAATTAGCAGGCCCGAATACTTTATCATATTCCATTGCACATTCATCGCCAAGGTTTTTCCCCGATTGCACCATCGCTCTTGTTATTCAATTACAGCAAAAACAAAGAGAAATCACTCTTTCTTATAACTGTATTTGCCTTGCAGTGGCCATCTTATTGCTTTTGTGCTTTAAATATCATGCAGTCTCTGGCTGTGATCTATTCATATATTATGCAGAATATGCATGAAGCAAAGTTCTTTGATGCTTTATCTGGGGTTCAGATTGTGGAATATGTTCATTTGAATAACAGACCATAAAGTCAAATGCTCAAAACAATCATCATGCATTCACTGAGGATTATGTAGAGATTTCACCATGACAAAGATAAAATAAATAAACCTTGGGGTGAGAGCAGGGGCACCATGCACCCATTTGAATAAATATTTTAATTAAACAAAGCAAATTGCGACTGAACTTTACAGATGGAGATCATTATGCATTTCAATTGTTGTATGGAGAAGTTTTAATATTTTCGCTTTTATAGCTAACATATTATAGCTTTAATATTTATATAAATTAGCCTTAACTAATTTTGTGTTAGGGTTAAAAAAAGGTATAATTTTTTTTAACATTACAGTGTGTTGATGAACTATAATAACTATAATTTACAGCAAATGATCTGCAGAAAATGCAACTCAATTATACCTACCAAATTTAGACATCCCTGAAATAAATAAATAAGCAGTGTTGGGGAAAGTTACTTTTAAAAGTAATGCTTTACAATATTGCAGTACCTCCTAAAAAATGTAACTAATTGCATCAGTTACTTTTCATGGAAAGTAATGTGTTACGTTACTTTTGCATGACATTTTCTCACCTGGGCTGAGCTTGCTTGTTTGTTTTTTTATTTGAAAAAGGTCCTATATTTTTGGCTAATATAAAGACCTTTTTACACCTGAAGTGAAATGAATAAGCCTCAGTCTAAAGGAAATGCAAATTCGCACCTGTGCTGTAGCACATACCGTGCAGCTCAAACAAACCTTTCAGCTGTGCTGACATTCTGGATCGCAGAAGAATAGGACGCAGGAGAAAAAATTTCAACCAAAGCCTCCAAGGTTAGCAAAAAACAAAAACAAAAAAAAACGTAATGCTGCAGTAGGCCTACGCAAGGGAAGAGACCAGAAGTCTTTTTTAAAAATGGTTGTCAATGGAGAAGAGGCTTCACTACGCTAAAAAAAATGCTTTTGTGGAAAAACAGCTTATCATTTAATGAATCGCCTATCAGCTAATCTTCAACATGTTTGCTTTTAAACATTAGTTTTGGATTGATCAAATTTGTAAAGTTTACACTGAAAAAAAAAATGCTGTTTTACAAGAGAAGTCAGGGACTGCGCATTCAGTTCACGGCACTTCTCTCTCATTTCTATGGTATCCGCAAATTGTAATTGACTGTCGCACACATATAGACATAAAGCCCCGTTCACACTACACGCGACCAAGCGACGCGATACCATTCATTTCAATGGTGAGCGGGCGACTTCCGGCGACACGCGGGACAGCGACCGTTGGCGACTAGATGGGGCGTGTCTGGCGACGCAACAAAGTTGAGAAATGTTTAACTTTATGCAAATGAAGAGCGATTTTCGCGAGCGACAACCAATAGGAGTGGAGCGACAACCAACATAGTGGCTCAGCCCCTGAAGTACTGCTGGAACCGGACTTCATCCAGCCGCAGTTCTTGCACCAGCCGGTGGTACTCGCCGTGCTGTCTCCAAGCCCGAATGGTCTCGTGAACCCAGATAGACCGGCGTTTGCGCTCATGCCGTAGATAAACGGCCGCAACGAGAAAAATCGACTTCTGTGTCTCGTTCATCTGCATGCTTCACTACAGACGTTTTTATGTACGGAGTATATTTATATTTAGTATTTTCCCTCCAGAAATTGTGTTTTTTAGCGGCAAGAAAGCTGATTCGCTGTCTTTTGGATGTCATACTAGTCAACCAGTAGTGGGAACGCCCACTAGCGACCTCATCGCCAGCGACTGGCGACTTGCAGCGACAAAGTCGCGTGTAGTGTGAACGGGGCTTTAGAGCTCTCTATTACGTC